TTGTGGCTCGGTTTTATTTTTTTTTTAGTTTTTCTTCTGCAACTGGTTCAGAAGGGTTGGTTTAAGGCCCTTCTACCCCCCGAACCAGATCAGACCCCGAAACACCTTCTCTGTAGGGGTATATCGCGAAGCTCCTGATACGATACATATTAGCCGATATGGCCCAATACGTGTCAAAGTTTTAAACCTTGATTGTATCCATCCTCATAAGTCATACCTAATATTAAGACATCATTTGAAAGTTTTATCTATTTGTGCTTATCGTAATTACTTAAAATATCACATATGCTTTTATTTTGTTATATGCATGCTACTTAAAGCAATGCTGATGGCACATGGCTGGGTAATGGTACACAAAATAAAACAAAGCATAAAATGAAAGAAGACGGTAAAATTTTAAACCTTGATTGTATCCATCCTCATAAGTCACACCTAATATTAAGCCATCATTTTAAAGTTTCATTTATTTGTGCTTATCATAATTATTTAAAATATCACATATGCTTTTATTTTGTTATATGTGTGCTACTTAAAGCAATGCTGATGGCACATGGCTGGGTAATGGTGTATACAAAATAAAACAAAGCATAAAATGAAAGAAGACAGTAAAGGAGTTCTTTTAACTTTTCCTTCCAATCAGTGTTATACTCGTATGGAGTTGCCACAATCAATGGACCAACATTAAATAATCAAGCTTATTTGAAAACAAAGGTTGTAACTCTCTATCCCAGCGTATCCAGCCTTCAATTTTGTGTTTGCAAAACAAAGATTGCTATGAAACATTCTGTATCATTTTTTTTATCGCAAATTTCAATCTATACTAACGTGAATATATCAATATTTCAAAACATTTTTTTTTTATTTGTGGTGAGCTGGTTAACACCTAGGGACTAGTCATAACATCAACTAAAGAGGCTATGATGACTAGTCATTGCCTCACCAGATTGATAAACCAAACCTAAAATTCATAGAAAGGCCTATTACAATCTCTATATCACACAGAAGCCCCCAGATAAGTAATATCATGCAATTTGTAAAAAGCCATACCAACTGCAATAAATTCTTTTCCAAATTAGAAACAAAAGCAAGCATCCAGAAAGTTATCAAAGAACAAACAAGCAGTTACCACAGCTGATAAATCGACATACCTTTTCTTTAGCCCAGCCAAAGGCAAAGTTGTATATCTCACGGAACTTTTCTGTGCAAGCATAGTGGAAGAGTGAACATTAACTCAGCAAGAGTAACTACACTTAAACCTACTACCTCCAAAATGTTAATAAAAACCTTGGAGAGTTCCAAGTTTCCCCCAAAAGTTGCAAACTTACAAGTCTATCCCATATAAAAATAAACAAAAAATACAAAACAATTTTCTGAATACAGGATGATCATTTTGTATTTCCCAGAATAAAATAAACATACGCTCATCCTTTAGTTCTGATCGCATAAACTGTATCCTTTCATGGAACTTCTCAAGTGAATCTACCCTGTCATCACAATATTCAACCTCAATATGACTCAGAAGAAACCATGTTTCAATCCTATATACAACAAAAACCTAGAACATAATGAAAATGATAACAGTAATTAATTAATACTTGCCCCAATGACTGTAATCCACCTACGAACTCCTGCCTTGAAAATTCACACATGGTAGCAGCCTTCATATGCCAGGAAACAACCAACTGCAGAGAAGGTAAAAATCCATGGTAACAAGAACCTCGACACAATTAATTGACGTTGACGATTATAAGAAATTAAGACAACAATCACAAGTGCATTAACTGTTATTGACCAAAAAAAACATCTGACCAATCAACTGGAATCATAAACTTGGTAGAGAATCAGGTGTTATTTATCAAAATTCATGGGTGTGTTTTGATTGGTCAAAACTCTTTCCATACCATATCTTTTCTACATCATAGATTTTCCCATTTTTAAAAGATAATTAAAATTATAAAATCAGTTTTTAGGGATTAAGAATTTTAAGACCACATGGACTTTGTTTGGACTTGCCTCAAGGGAGTTGGTTGAGGGTCCAGGGGCAGAGCTCCTGACCCAGCCACCATGTTTTAAAAACACTAAAAGCACAAAAAATAAAAAGGCACATCTGGAACCTAGGCAAGGCACATACCTTAAATTGAACCTCACTTTTTTGCCTAGGCACACCCAAGGCAGGCCTTTGAAATCACTGATCAAGTGGCATTAAGACAATATCCCCAAATCCATTAGACCAAATTTATAGCTACCTCAAATATGAAATTTTAATTAGAAATACCCTTCTTTTTCAATTGGAGCCAATTAGGAAGGAGGATCATCCCACAAAGAAGCCATCTAAATGTTAGGGTTTTATTTGAAATGCAATGTACTGTGATATTAACAAAAAATAAGGATACAACTACTGACCATGTATACCCATGTTGTGTATGGGACTACACAGTATTTCTGTAAATTCTGTTAGCAAGCAATTAACAAGAAAATATGTACCTGTCAAAAGATCAATTATAATCTTAACTTCTGAGTTTCTTGTGCACTAATAACCAGGAACATAGCTTTCCTTTGATTCCTCCCAGTATCACTTGATCAGTGGAACTAGTGTTCCCAAACAAGGTTTGAAATGTCAATGTTAATGGAAATGTCAATCGTCCGAATACAAGAAACATGTTGGAAATGTCGGAAACATTGTATGGAAATATTGTAAAAATTATAGGCCTGGTTGAAACATTGTACGCAAAATATAGAATGATATTTTATGAAATGATAAAAGAGAGCATAGGCACACCCTTTTAAATTATTATCTTGTTCCAAATCACTAAACAAAGCTAATTAAGGTTATGGACAAAATGATACATTCAGGAGTTGCCCTATAAACCTTAAGATTCAAAGCTTATAGAATGAGTTAAAGCAAAATTTAAACTAACAGAAAATGTAAATGGTTGTAATAGATCAACCAAATAATCTATAAACAAAGAAAAATTAATATTTAATTTCATGCTTGAAATGAATATTTAGCTAGGTAGGCAATAACATTGTTACTCCACATATCTACAATATTATCACCAACTTGTGTTTTAATACCATCTCTTGTACTTCATATAGTGCTGGTTAGTGTTCACTGGGGAATATGTATGCCATGGAAACTATCTCTTGTACAGTTGTACTCCACATAGTGCTGCTAGTGTTCATTGGGGAATATGTTGACTCCGGTACAATTTCATGTCGCTACCCATGGAAATGGAAATATGTCGTGGAAATATTAGGGAAACTAGGGACTCTCAAAATTTTAAGTATTCCTCTCCCCCAAGCACACATTAATGTTAGCTTCAACAATAATCTAATCAAAATGACCTAGTTTCCTACACATTAGCTAATTATCCATGGTCCAGGAAAAAAGTATTTGCTTAAAGAACGGGCACATACCATTACAATGTCCCCAGGATCGACCTACCAAAAACAAAGCCACATAAATATGTCAACAGGTTTCAAGGGAGAAATGCAGGTGGTAATAGAAAGGTAGAGTCTAGATAATCTTGCAAAAGGAAAATGTAGAGAGATTTTTCATAAATATATTCAACTGGGAATGCCAAATATATTCGATCGTTCAAAGAATCATGAATAATATAATTTAATTGAGCCAAGATACCTGTAGGTCATTGCAAAGAAGAGAGATACCATCTGCTAGAATCATATCAACATAAGGATCTGCACAAAATATCATCTTTTAGAATGCAACTTACTAAGCAACATAATGTGATACACAAATAATTAACAAAGGAATGAGCAACCAAAGAAATGTATATATAAAATATAAACCCTCCCTTTTCTTTATCGGTACAATAAAAGTATAGAAGAGTACAAAACGACCCAAAAAAAGTATATAAACCCTCCCTTTTTTCCTTCCTTTTTTTTTTGTGCTGCTGGTGGTATAATTTTGTTTGTCCAAGACCATGTACCATGTTTTAACTATGTCCATCTTCAACAAGTCATACAACTTCAACATAGATAAGACATCACTTGGAAATTGAATCCCAAATGTAAGACAAAAAATGACAAATACTGCAAATGTAATTACAATAAAAAACTAACAATTACCTTTATATCTATTGTAAAGCTCTTCAAGATGCCTAGAATCAGGAATGGCTTTAACCTGAGGCTGACTGTAGAATATATCAAAGGCTCCTTCAAGGTGCCAATCACTGGCCTTCAAAGCCTGGAGAGCTACTTTTTCACTGCAAAGATGATGTCATGATATGAAATTCTAAAGCAAGAAATGTATAATATGGAACTCTAATGAATGCCTTTTCATGATGTCTGGAAGACAAAACCATGGAAAGCTACAATCGCCAAAATAAATAGGCAATCAAACATATTCATGAGGCAAATAAAGTTACAAATACAAACCCCCGGATGATATCGCTTCTTGAAGTATATTGGCACCTGATGGAGGGTGATTTGGCCTGACCTCATAGTCCGGGGACACGTGTGTGTGACCTGGCTCAATGAACAGCTCAGCTTGACAGCACGACCGYGACTTGACGGGAGAGACACGCCGAGTCCAACGCTGAACACTCGGTGGGTTAAGCAACTCGTCGGGGACTAACACCTAGCCAACTTTGACTCCCACCAAGTGTGGGAGGTCCCGAGCTCCCCCTAAGGGGCCCTAAGCTCTCCCTCCCCAAGAAGGGAGCACCCCGGTATTGGGCCAAGTGTCCCGAGGGAGGGGGACCTCGAGGCAGCACCGCCTCCAGCGCAGGCACCTCGGCACCTCGGTACCAGGACAAACCTGCCCCAGGTAGTCCGGCGTACAGTAGCTCGGTAGGCTGTGGGGAGGAATGTCTGACATCCGTACCCGCCGGACCCGGTGGCAGGCTCTGATCCCTTACTAGGCGGCGCTCTGTTTGTCGTCTCTGGAAAGCATGGCACGTCTGTCGAGCCCGTACCTAGCGATGGCAGTCTGTAGCAGCAACCTGCGCCTGCCACACCTGCCCTGGCAGTAACGGCTAGGGCGGTGGCGGTTATGCCAGGTATGACCGGGCTCCGACATAAAAGAACTCTAACTCTCACAAGGAAAAGGTATTGGAGCTTAAGCACTTTCAGCACTCTTACTCTCTACTCTTTCTCTGAGATTTTCTCCAGTTCTAACTTAGCCATCAGAGTGTTCCCACCAGGATAACTCCCTGGGAACCCTTCTTCTTCTCTTTCCTCTCAGGTGTCGTTCGTTCCA